CTTGGGTTGGCTAGCCCTGACTCCATTGTCATTCTAGGGTCGTCGTCCTTTTGGTTGGGTGAGTTTTGCTATCTCGATGTGTGCTCTCATTCTTTCTATTTCTAGTCTCTCCTCTTTCCCTCTATTTCTAGTTTCTCCTTTCTCTTATTTTCTTCTTTCAGTCTTTCTCTTTCTTTCTCAATTTGTCTCTTCTGTTACCATTCATCTCTTTCCAGTTCTTGTTGTTGTTTAACAAACTCTCGTAGTTCACTATCTTTTAACCCAAGTTGAGATCCTCTTTCTACCCATTTATCAAAATCTGTTGACATGGTTATAAAGCATAATTTTAATCTCTACACTATTTTAGTTACTACTACAGTTGTGCATATACAGGTAGGCCTACTTATTTCTGCTGTCATTTATGTTTTCTTCTATCGCCGTTTACCACTGTATAATCCTTGCTGTGGCTCGCCAACTGTCAGAATTTAAAAATCTTATCTTGGCCAATTATCAGAATAAAAAGGTTTTTAGTTGTATTTCTTAATAGTATAAATATATAGTATGTTGTTGTTGGGCTTAGAATTCTTCTATAGTAGGTGTCTGTGACTTGTTAGCAATAAATTCAACAAGCACGCACTTCACTTGTTTCCAAAGTATTATATATATATTCAGAACAAGTTAACGTATGTACAATAAATCCTTCAGCACTCTAGATATTATGGACATAATATAAATACTATATATGTAGTTCTCTCCTTCTTGTCAAATGTCCACTTAGGCCTATTCACTCACTTTAGAATTTCAGTTGACAAAAGTTTTTTGTATCATGATAGAAAACAAAATTATTATTAATGGAGTCCAGTCAAACTGGACCTTTGTTATTTTAATGACACTGTCGAGTTAGGCCTCACTTGGAATATTATGTGCAGTTTTGGTTTTTCTCATGCACAAAAGGATATTGATGTATTAGAGAAAGTTCAGAAGGGGGCTACTATGATTATTCCAGGGACAGAAAGGTTATCTATGTGGCTAGGTTAAGATCTCTCATTCTCTCTCTCTGTAATGAAGTTTACAAGGGTAAGAGAACACAAATTTGAGATCTAGAAAAAAAAACAGGCTAGGCTCCAGTTAGGAAACCCTTCATTTTCTGAGTAATTACCTTAAGGAATGAGTTACCATTGACTGTAGTGGGGCCAGCACCTTACAAGAATTTAAGAAAGGAGCAGATAATGTCCTGAAAAATAACGGGATAATTTCAATATTTACTTCTTCTTGGGGATTGACGTATAGAAACAGCCGTGAAGGATAAAATTGGCGCTTGTTGTCCATAATGTTATTTAAAATAACTTGTGGAAAAGCTATAGGTTACAGACTAAAAATCATGTTGAACATTATACTTTTATTGCATTTATTGCCTTTAATGTACAAAAATAATGAATAAAAACCCATGTTTATCTTCTTTTTTAATCAACAAAACCATCATTTGTTGAATCAATGCTGATTAAAGCCATAGATAGAAACAAATTTATTTGTTTAAGCATAAAATTCTCCAACCTGTTGCATTCCACACAGTCTTTCTTTATTTTTTTTCATATACATAGAACCCTTCTCCTGTCTTTTGTCCGAACTTTCCTTCTGACACCAATTTGCTAAGAAGGTCTGGAGTTTTGAATTGTGTCATTTCTGGATATCGTTCATACCATCCTACAAGAAATAGTTTAGGTATATTAATGGAAGTGAAAATTAGACCTTAGCACACACATCTATCTACTTGAAACTAAGAGCTGCTTTTTACCCTCTTTGATGACAGACCAACATGGTTTCAGTCGGCAGACCTATACATGTTCAATATTTTAGGTTTTTACTTTTACAAAAATCAAATTAATGGAGAGATTATTATACTCAAAATAATTGCAAGAATGTTAAATTCAGTCATGCAGTAATTCAAAAACTGAAATAATATCTTTCATTCATCATCAGAAAATTTTCAGCTGCTTAGTTAGTTAAATAAAGTTTTAACTTTATTCTTATCAAAAAGCAATAAAGTAACTTGAAAATTCTCTATCACATTAAAAATGTTACTATTTCACTTGAACAAATATGAATCTTAGAACATCTGTATTTATAAGCTTTTGCAAGCAAAGTACCTTTTAAAGCTTCTCGGGTATTTCCCGTAATGATTACTTTACAAGTATAGTTCAGAGCATTTATTCATTCTAGACAAAACCTTTAGCTGTTGTAAAACAGCAAAAAGGGTTTAAAATATTATTATAATTTTTTTCCATACCATCAAAAATAAACTTGGTGGTGTCTAATCCAACGTAGTCAGCTAGCTCAAATGGACCCATGGGATAACCAGTTCCCAATTTCATAGCAATGTCAATATCTCTACAGCTTGCATCACCTGTAAAACCATCGAACATCTGAAAAGTTCTAGTGATGACGGATACTAAGATACTTCTTCAGAGATTACTAACATGAAAACCTTGCATTCAACAATGAAAAGTACATCAAACATTCTGTGATAAATCAAGGTAGGAAGCTTGGTTAGTTGTCTATATCAGTGGTTCCCAAACTCTTTTAGTCTGAGGCTCCTTTGATGTGAATAAAAAAGTTAGAGGCCCCACAACCTATAACTTTAGCATGGTGATTGAAAAACAGTGCAGTAGTAAAAACAGTAATGGCTCCTTTCGACATACTGTATCATTTAATTAATTCAACATAATTTTTTTTACAGGCTTATTGTTTATTTAAAGTTAAATTGGCATCTTTGTCTTCAACCCATTTTTGGCAGCCCCCCATTGGGGCCATGGCTCCCACTTTGGGAAACACTGGTCTATATCATCTGTTCATAGGAGGATCTGTGGATTCATGCCCTGACCAAAATCAAGTACCATTTCTTCAGATGTATTCTAACTCCACAAAGTGTTGTGCCACTCTTAAAGTTTCTAGTTTCGATACTAAAATAAAACGAAGCTAAACACCTTAAAAACACCAGTTCAATTAATTTTTCTGACCTAGGGTTCAACATTAACCAAAAAAAATAGAATCTAACTATAGATGAAATGTGACTTTGCATCATTGTGAATCTGTAAACACAAAATCATTGTTGTATCCATAGTGTCCTCTCTACTTATGAGGGTTGAAACTATGGTACTCCATTGTTCCCTATCCCTTGCTGCCTGCACCAACTTTACTAATTCACGTTGTTTCATCTCCGATCCATTTTCTAGTTATCAAGCCAAGTAAATCTTTCTGCCTCTGAAAAGATCTTAACACCAGCAATACTATATAGTTAAAACTATAGCCAAACAACCAAGCATTCATTCTACAAAGACTGACATTGGAGCATTTTCAGTCATATAATTCTGAATGATGTACAGAACTCTAAAATCTAAAGCTTTATTGAGTTCCAAGTTCAACAAATTTTTACACATTGATCTAACCATCTCAATTAACCTTATGCAGATTGACTCATTAATTTGACCAATCTTGTAACCATGAAATTATACATACTACAACTCTGAATGTATATTCAAGAATTTTGGCAAGCTTTTAGTAAACAAGTGTTGTACAAAAGAAAAATTAACATTTTTAATACAGTACTCTTATCGAAGATATGTTTGTGAATGTACAAAATCTCTACTAAATAAGTCTGAGTGAAAGGTGAATTTCATACTAAGACTAAAAAATATCTCATCTCACAGTTTCATATTTCATTGCATAACCTCTAGAACCTTCTAAATGAATAGTTTTTCAGTTAAACTTTTTACCTAATCTCTTATTTTTCTCTACCCTAACACTAACTGTATCAAAATCATTAATGTAAAAGTGAATGAGAAGTTGAAAAATATGAAATCAAATCAAAAATGTTTTTCTCCCTAAAATGACTACAGATTGTAACAGACAATTATTTTTCCTAACAGCTTCAGGCCTCTTAACCTTTTCATTTAATTTTACTATTTTATTGTTCTTTGTGGTATATCTATCTAGCATGAAAGCAATAAATCATTTAGCAAGAGTGTAAGGCAAACAAACTATCAAGTTACATCAAGAGATGATAGTCCATGTGCATTCCTCCAACAGAAATAACAGAATCTTTCTTATTAATTTTTTTTTCATTTAAGTTTTCTTATCTAACCTAGCAAGTTTCTCACTTTTACATTCTAGTTACACTAGTAATTTAGTACTTTAGCCTTTAGGGCATTTCACACTTGGTTTAATAAGCCTTTTTTTTTCTCACAATGTTGTCTAACAATAATATGTGCAGCTTTTAAATATGCATTTTAGAACACAAAAAAATATATAAGGCACAATAATAGACTATCCCAAAACTAGTATAATTTATATGCTAAAAATTTCAATTATTGCTTGGAGTAATGTCTTTCTTCATGAACAATTGGCTTTGACCACTAAACCAAAACAGGCAATCACCTGATTTATGTAGTTTGGAATATATTCTTTTTATTGGTTGTAGATATGTCTATTAGCAATTTTGGATAAAATTAGTGACTTTTCTTGAAAAACTGAGGATATGGGAGAGGTATGTCATGTAGGTGGAACAAATATAGTGATATCTCAGTTTTATCTTCTGGCTTTACATTATCTATAGTATGTGTTCTAATTAGTTGAACAATCTAAAGCACCTAAGGGAAGAGAAAAAATCTATAAATGAAAAAGTCAGAGCACCATCATATTATGTGACTCTGAGGCATAAACTGAGAATTTATTTATATATTTCCTTTTGAAATTTAGAAATCAAAACTTTAATAATATAAAGATTTTAATTATAAGCTATATTTTAATGCCAAATTTATTAACATACATTGATAATAAAGTAGTTTAATCAAATTTTGAATATAACTAGAAAAAAGTCATGACATGTACACTTTGACACTCCCATGTCCATAGGATTTATAAGCATATAAGCAACATAAAAATGTCGTTTGACTCAGTCATATTAAAGGGTGGCACATCATCCTGTGAAGTTAGAATTTTTAGAAACATTTTAAAAGGAAATTTTTACCCAAACATGTCAGATTATAAGTAAAATTTAACTAAGCTTATCAGTTTGGTGCTCTAAAACTAAGGCAATTTATTAAACTGATTAAGATATAGTTTTCAGGAAACAAAAAGACAACTACGAGACTTGCATAATATTAAAAAAAAGCAAACAAAAAAGGTATAATTTTTGATAGATTATGACTTTATAAAAAAAAAAAACTTTACAAACACGACCAAAAAGAAGCAATGTAAATGAACCATTTCTGTGAAACATATTAACTCCAAAATATTCTATGTTAAAAAGAGGTTTTGAAATGAAAATTACCTCTTTCCATCATTCTAATAGCTTCCGACATGTATGGTAAAAGAAGTCTATTCACTATGAACCCTGGAGTATCCTAAATCAAGAAAGAAGCATTTTTGTGAGAAAGAGGGTAACTTTATCTAACCATTGTTGACATACTGACATTAGCAGTTTGAATATAACCATAAAAAAGATCTTCCCACATCTAACACTAGCAGTGTTGCAACAGCAACCATGAGACCATGCAATACAACTTGCTAATTCTTAAATATTGAGTAAGCCCTTTTCTGTCTGAGCGTGTCTATACACATGAAGTATTTTAGCTTTAACCAATTTCCCAAAAGAGTAAATCAGACAGATCTGCTATATAACAGGAAGTTGAGCAAGTATGTGCCAAGAAATAAATGGAGTGGACATGGTGTGTATTGCACAATCTTTATTTAGACAACGTAAAGCAACAGCATGTATAGCAACTTTGAACAACACACAGTCACCTTTACTGGAGTCATAGAATGATCTTGACTTTAAACTTAAAATTTAGAGCTTTAAAAGCTTTAAGTGCTTAAAATATATAGATAACACTAACCTTATAAACTACCTGAACAATTAAAACTTCACAGTTGAAATCAGTGTTATAAATTCATATCTCACATGCTGCAAGCAAATACATTTTAACTCCATGTCATTTCCCCCAACAAAGTGAGGTTAAGGAAGTTAACTTGGTTTGGACATATTGGAAATATAATAATATCATGCATATGTCACACTATACACACACACACACACACACATATATGAACGAAACAGTTATATGATTTGAATAATCATTCTGAAAACTTTGAAATTTTCTCAAAAGTCTCAAAATAAAATATTAATCATATGACACCAATTTTTACAGCTTTCTCCATTATAATCACTGACCTTACATGTGACAGTCTGTTTTCCCATCTGCTTTCCAAATGCAATCAATTTATTGTAGGTCTCATCACTTGTTTCAGGTATCCTAATTACCTAATAATTTACAAAATGGTAGTAATTTTTAAAATTGTATCATAATTCACAAACCTTTCTGTAAAAACAAAACACACATGTATATTACTAGCAATTATGTACAGTTGAGTTTTCAAAACATGATATATCTATTTTAGTACCTAGTATTAACTTGCTTTCATTTTATAATATCAATACTTGGTGACTAAAAATAAATTCCTTTTTCTACAAAAAAAATTAATTATTATATTGTAATTTTTCTACAATTACATAACATTGTAAATTCTAGAAATCACCAACATTTTTTCTAGTACATTAAAAATTGTACCAACTGAAAACAATGGATACATTTCTAATAAAAGAAACAATTTTTGTGGTATTTTTTTTAATATTCTAGAAAGCATTAACAACTTAAGAAAATATATGCATTTGCTGATTGCTCAGATTATGAAAAACAAAACTGAACATTACACAAAACACAACTTAAATATTTGAATTTGAAATTTCACAAACAGTATTTAAAGATAGATCAATTGGAAAGGGATATATGAATAAATTAAAAATCATATATGTAAGTCATTCTTGAGTTAAGCCACTTCTGTTTATTAAAACTGTGCATGCTTCTTTGCAAGAAACTTTCTCCCAAATTTTTAACTCAAATGATAATTGTTAAAATTATATATATATATATATTAAGTAACTTTTTCTACATCACTTAATGCTTCATTTGGCTCACCTCCAATAATTTCATGACTGGAACAGGATTAAAAAAGTGCAGACCTCCAAATCTATCTTTGCGTTGCGTTGAAAAAGCAATTTCACTTATTGGAAGGGAAGAAGTATTACTGGCAAAAATGGTTTTCCTATAAAAATATTTATGTTAATGAAGCATGTTTTCTCTCTCTCTCTCTCTTCCTTTTTTTTAATAGAGAGAGAGAATACTTATTTCCATAAAAAAATTGGTCCATGGAATTCCAAAACAGTATATAAATCTTTAGTTTATGGAAC